GCTGCTGCCACGACTTTCCCATAACCACCTGCTACCTTGAAAGCAGATATTTATAAGAGACAGTGCAGTATAGCACAACTGCAACAAATCTAGATGTGAAAGGCATCGCTGACCATGTTTTGGTCTCCTAGTGCTGCTCTAACATAAAAATACCACAAATGTGTAGCTTTAACAAACAGGATTTATTCTCTTACAGTTCTGGAGGCTAGAAGTCTGAGTTCAAAGTGCCAGCTCTAAGGGCTGGGTGAAGGCCCTTTAACCTTGGGCTTCAGCTCTGCCTCTTGCTCCCGGTCCAATGAAGCTGGAGGTTTCTCTTAGACAGCTGCTGGCTGGTGAGGATGACAAGTAAAATGGCATAGTCCCAAAATTATCAGGCAACATGGCAGATCACTAATTCAAGTCGATTAATAGTCCCAAGATTGGCAGGTAACATGGCAGGCCGTTGAGATGAAAACTTGGCTACATGCAGGCAAAAAGCTCAGAGAACTTTCTCAAAGCATCTTATTATATACTCGAAGGAGACCACAACCCCAAGTAGCTACTCAGCTGCTCTAGTAGATTCCATCATGGAGCTGATTACCAGTCTCATCATGGGGAATCACTGGAATCATCCAGCTGCCCAGCCACTCAAAACCAGGCCCAGCCAAACTGACACACAACTTAATTACCACAATTCCACCCCTTGTCAACTTGGCATCCGTACACATCTCCTTCACTGGGGGGCTCCATCCCCTAGTTCATCTGAGTGGTGACCTCACCCCCTTGGCCTGGTAGGCCCTGTTACACTGCTTCTTGGGCATAGGAGCCCTGCCCCTCACTTTGGGGCAGCAGATATGGCCCCATCCCATTGGCCCTTATGAACAGGAGCCCCACACTCCAGAACAAAGTTAGTGAAGGTCTGACTCTTTGAAATTCAGGAGTCTGTGGTAGTTCCACTCCCAGAGGCCATGGTCCTACCCTTTGAGGCTGAGGCAGCTCTGCTTCCCTTTTCCTTGGTGTCTTAGCTTCTGTGAATTAATGACCAAAGGCAACCCACTCCGCCAGGAAGCCGCCCAAAGCATCCAGCTTTCTCCTCCATGGGCTGGTAAGTCTGTTGCTGTCTCATACCAGTCTCTTGGCTCTGCTGCTGCCATTTCTCTGCCAGTGTCTCTGCTGGTGTCTCAGCACAAGGATCTTGGCTCAAGGATACACTCCACTCCTGTTTCCACATTTTAAATATCTGTCCGAATAGCACCCCACTTTCTCGGTACCAAATTCTGTTTTGGTCATCTATTACTGCTTTAACCAAAAAACAACACAAATGTGTGGCTTTACCAAACAGGGATTTATTCTCTTACAGTTTGGGAGGCCAGAAGTCCAAGTTCAAAGTGCTAGCTCTAGGGGCTGGATGACGTCCCCTTGACCATGGGCTTCAGCTCTGCCTCTTGTTCCCAGCCCATTGAAGCTGGAGGCTCCTCTTAATTCAGACAGCTGCTAGCTGCTGAAGCTGACAAATCCAAGGCCAACAAATAAAATGGCACAGTCCCAAAATTATCAGGCAACATGTAAGCTTCACTAATTCAAGTCCAATAACAGTCCCAAAATTGGCAGACAACATGGCAGGCTGCTAAATGAAGATTCAGCTACATGCAGGGTCAAAGCATGCCAAAAAGCTCAGAGACCTTTCTCAAGGTGTCTTCTTATATACTGGAAGCAGATTACATGCCCAAGCAGCTACTCAGCTGCTCCAGTAGATTCCACCATGGAGTTGATTACCAATTTCATCATGGGGAATAACTACACCCAGCTGCCCAGCCACTAAGAACCAGGCCCAGACAAGTTGACACACAACTTAACTACTATACTGTCACTTCACATTCCTTCTTCTCACTGATTTCCTCACTAACACCAAGGATGTCCTATGAAGTAATTGGTTCAACTCTAACAATAACTCTTCAATGTTGGAAAGAGCCCACTTCAGACTCATCTACTGGCTATTTCCACAGAGTGGCGAGGGATATACAGGATATATTTTTGTTATTTGAGGGAAAAACCATTATCTATATGATCAAAGATGTTACTACAGAAAGCATTTTAATAAGTTACAAAAATGCTAAGTAACAATTTTCTATAACATTACTATCTCATTGGGAAATATGGATACCACAAAAGTAATTTAGTTTGTAACATATAAATCAAAGGTAAAATCAAATCATCTCTATAAAAGGACCCACACAGGATGTGAACTTGGTTCTATGTTTCAGTTTCTGATGAAATATCCTGTGGCTCTTGTTCACAGATAGGGTTGTTCAAGCCAGAATGCAAACAATTTCACTCTTCTGTTATTCAAAGCCTATTTGAATAATATCCATAACAATGGTTAAAAAAAATTTGATGAAAATAACAATCATGAATGAAATGCATTACTCCCCTTCCTGCCAGGGACCAGTACTGCAAACCTTCAAATCCTTGATGCCAAGGACAGCTTTGTGAAGGAGAAAAGGCCACAGAAGGAGGTCTGATTGCATCACCTCATCAGTAGCTGAGCCTCCATAAGTGGTTTATAATTTACCCAGTAAAAACAGATAGTCAAATATTGGTCAAGTCCCCTGAAAGGCATCCAGAAAGTTGTCCTTGCATATTGCACTGACACACAGCTAGAAAAGTGGTCTAGAAGCACCATGATCCCTTATGAAAGAGAGCTGTCCTCCAGAACTCAGTCAGTTTGCTTATCTTTTAGAAAAAGCAGTGAGTCAGACCATAGGCATAAAGGCAGGAGAAATAGTTTCTAATGAGAAACCAAATAAATGCCAATTAAACAACTAATGCCAAATTCATATGTTATCAACACTCTTGGGAGCAACTTTCTGTATAAAAGAAAATGTATGTTCTAGAATAGTCAGTTTATGAAATTACTAAATGAAAAATGAAAAGCATTTCAACCTAAATGTTTTTTTTAGTGTGGTGATAAAGATGAAAACTCTTTGTACTGAAATTCTGCTACCTTTCAATCATAGGACCAAGATATCCAATCTTTTGAGGTATAAAAAAGCAGTTTATGGCAGGGCCAGGCCATGATAATTTCCAGAAGTTTAACAGTCTCAAACAAGCATGCCAAAGCTGTGCTCAGGTCATTGTGACCTGAGACATGGCATATGACATGTTCAGTGTACAGTGGAGAAAGTGCTGAGTCTGTGACTTTTTCAGATGTAGGAAAAGATTTCTTCTAACCACTCAACTGCTCAATTTTAAATTATTTCCAACCAGGGGAATCAAACTGTAGACTCATGCTATCAACAGCTAAAAGGGCCCACAGAAATTGTTAGGCGGGAGCATGGCTGGCCAGGTGGGTGCATGATTAAGCCAGAGGGTTAATCATTTTAAACCAGTTAAAAGAACTGGTCTAGCAAGGAAGCGCCTGACCAGAGCCCATACCAAACCCCAGCATGTAACCCTTACGAAAGACCCCAGCACCTGACTCTTACTCACAAAAGCCCCCAACGATTTCGTGCCCACAATGTTAATGAAGTGCTTCAGCTCTACTTCCTGCCCCCATGCTAATAGGGTACTTTAACCTTATTGGTTCCTGTAACACATACCCTGCTCTCAATTAGGTCCTCTAAGAACCAGGAAGAAAATCACTATAAAAAACCCTTTCTTTCACCTGGGCAGTGCGACTTTTCTGGCCCCTCTCAGGGACCTGTGAACCTCGCCCAGGCCCCTCTCAGGGACCTGTAAACCTCTCCCAGGAGGCCAGAATAAAACCTTCTCTTCAACCCCACTTTTGCGCATCCTCTTCTCCTTACTGCGACCTTACAGAAATTACTAGTTCAATCACCTCGTTTTATAGTAGAAAACAGAAAACCAAAGAAGTAATCTGATGTGCTAGTTTCATAGTGACTGAGATGAACCAAGGACGCCAGAAAAGAGAAAGGAAATCAGACCGGTCTGTGACATGCCAGCCTCTCCAGCCCCACTGTTATGTTCTCACTAAGCCCTGTTTGATTCAGCAGAGAACTGTACAACAGAGCAAATGTGTATTCCTGGAAGAAGTAATTCAGTAGCTCCTCTTCCCTCTTCATTCCAGACTCCTCATTTCCTCTTAAGACTGTTTCACTTCCTTAGCACTAATCTCATCTCTCCAGTGCTTTCCAGAAATGAATACATTTACAGCCTCTCCATGGATCTATCTATACCCAGATTCCCAAGGCACAAAGCTGTGGGAATCTCCTCTTCTTCTCAGTTCCCACTAAAGTCAGAAGTGGTGGACTGCAGCCACAGATTCCTCTGGGCCTTTATGAGCACAAGAAGGAGAAGCAAGAGATGAAGCTGGTTCCACTTGAAATGCAGAAGTTTCTGCTAATTAGCTTATGGATGTTTGGTCATATAAATAGTTCTTCTATGTTACATAATCCATCTTTTAAATATCCTCTCCATGAGTGTGTGTGTGTGTGTGTGTCTTGCTCATTATTGAGAGTATGTGTGTGTGTGGTGGGGGGTGGGTATATGAGTGCCTATATTGTTGTGGTTGCTGCTGTTCAGAAATATGAATCAGGATTAGAAACAAGGATCAGACAGGATAGAGTTTATTAATGTGATCTCTATACAAGAACAGTTGGTTACTCCTTTACAAGTAGAATTACTTAATCTCCAAATGGCCTTGAATGTGGGTCAAACTAACTTTATGAGAGAGAAAGAAAATATATCCCATATACTTTATCTTAGATCTTAAACTAGTTTCTATTGGAGAGTCCGTAAGCACCAAGTGACAAAACTGCTTCATGATAACACACACACACACAAATGGGAGAGGTTGTTATACTCTAAAGAGTCACTGGAATATGGTATGCTTTCCAATTTGTCACATCTTTATAAATATCATCACAGTCAAAACCAATTTTAAAACCAAATGATTATCTCATTCAGTTTTAGAATAAAAACACTTAAATATTCATATATATCTATATCTCTATCTACACACACACACACACATTTAGTGCTATGTACAAAAAATGGTTTACCTTCCAGCATTTTTTGCAGACTGTTCCTCATGACATGGATGTTCTCTATTCCAATAAACTGAAACTTGATATTGGAATAATTGTCTTCATTCTCATAGCCTTTCCCTGCAGCTCGGTTTGCCATTGCATTAAGCTGCAGTGATCAGCAAAACAGAACAACAATCATCAAATATATTCAGGACGGGAAACAACCAATACACTTCACAGACAAGCATAAAAACATGCATGCAAAATGACGTGCAGAAACATAATATATTTTAAATCATGGGACGTTGTACTGACTTATGTAATCTCAGGCACCCATAGTGGTAAATTTTCAGCTAGCAATCAAGCACTTAAATCACTGCATCACCAGGGTTATATATTCAAATTCCTAAATTTGTTTGTATGTGTAAGGTTTTCTTAGCTGGGAAGCATTCTACAGACAAATTCTTCTGGAGTTACCTCTTGCAGTTACCTGTCAGAGAGGCCAAATTTAATGTGGAACTCTGTGACAGAGCCAAGTTGCTCTGATTAAATAGCAAGCATTACAAACTTTAGGTTCACAGAAGAGTACCAGCAGATACAGCAGGCAACATAGGGCTCAGTAAGTTCAATTATTGTATCTTCCAGTATTCTATATAGCACTCTCTCTGCCAATAAACACATCATTAACAGGAATTACTTCATACTAACTTTGCCTACAAAGATGCCCCTAGAATATCCAATTAAACTGTGATCAGGAATCACTGAATAAAGAGACAGGAAGCAGACGCTAACTCTCCAGAGGTATCTCTCCTTTTGCCACCTTATTTAAAACTTCCCATTGCCATTGAGTTTATTCTGAATCACAGTGACCCTACAGAACAGGGAAGAAATGCCCCATAAGGTTTCCAAAGAAGGTGGGGCAATCTACTTCCGTAGTGTACTGTCTGGAAACCCAAGGAGGGGTCGCTATGAGTCGGGTCCGACTCGAGGGCACATAACAACAACAACAATCGTTAGAGAAGCAGACTATCACAGTTTTTCTCCTATGTAGCAGCTGGTGGGTTCAAACCACTAAATTTTCAGCTAGCAATCAAGCTCTTAAATCACTGCACCACCAGGGTTCCTTCGTCTAAGATATGATTGCCTACTTAGTGTAATAGCAGACATGGAGATTTAGCAATAATACATCTTTCCTAGAAATGTATATATTTCCCAGGTAAGGCAGAACTTGTTCCTTTCTTGATTTTAGCTACACAGGGCTATGACAGTAGTTTAGGTTTAATACATTTCTCCAAAATTCATTATCATTTAACCCAGTTTAAATGAGGAAATCCCAATTTTTCCTACGTAAAATTATGTGAATGTAGTAGTGATCACAATGCTCTATTTTTAAATCTAGACATCTAGTAAGGGGGCCTTGTGATCACTATTACTTTGATCACTCTATTAAACTTAGAAACCTACTGTCATCTTCCTGGGCTCACAAAGGGCAGGAGGGCTAGCTGAGTTCAGGTAGAAGACCTAAGCCAGGAACTCATCACCAGGATATGGAAAGAGAAGCTGTTTTTAAAAGCAAAACATAAAGCAGTACTTGTTGTTAGGTGCCATGGAGTCAGCTCCAACTCATAGCAACCCTGAAACCAAACCACACTCACTGCCAATGAGTTGATTCTAATTCACAGCGACCCCCACTGGGTTTCTGAGCTGGTAAATCTTTATAGAAGTAGATTGCCCCATTTTCCTTCCAGGAAGTGGCTGGGGGGTTTGAACCTCCAATCTTCTGGTTAGCAGCCAAATGCCTTAGGAACTATGCCACCAGAGCTCTTTTCATAGCAACCCTAGGAGGATATTACCAAATTCTTTTCAAAACTAAGTTAAAAGTGCTAAGTTAAAAATACCGATTCTCTGATGCAAGTTCTCCTATTTCTGAGAACGTGACACAACGGAAATATCAACACATGAAGACAGATGTCTAAGAATATTTATTGTAGCATTGTTTATAATAGTAAAAAGCAGAAAGCCCATGAATGTATCAATAGTCAATGACAGGATAAGTTACAGCATATTCATGCCATGAACTATCAGGTACTGAGAATAAGGACAGATCACACATATATTGACTTAGAATTAGCCATTTACACATTAAGGAAAAGAGTAAGTTACAGAGTAATAATTTTACAATATTCCTGTTTTATGTAAAACAAATCTATAGATAAATATTTATGTTTACATATGTCTGATTAAACAGAATTTAACAATGCATAGCAAACTATACTGCAGAAAGATAAAATGTAATATGAGCACTATAAGTATTAGTTCAGATACTCTTGTATTGTTTGGAGTCCCTGGGTGATGCAAATAGTTAACACACCCTGATGCTAACCAAAAAGCTGGAGGTTCAACCCCACCCAAAGGTACCTCAGAAGAAAGGCCTGGCAATCTACTTCAGGAAAATCAGCCTCTGAAAACCCTGCAGAGCACAGTTCTACTTTGACACATACAGTGCACCCAGGAATCAAAGTCTACTCCACAGCAATTGGTGTGTGTTGTGTGTGTTCTTTAATTGTTACAGTGAACATATACTAGGTTTTTAACTCAAATAATAGATGTAAAATATATTAGAAGTAAAAATATAAAACAACATGGCATGCCACTGCCACAGGGGTTCAGGTAGGCAGATACTTCACTTCAACAGAAGTTCTGATCTATTGTTCTGGTCAAGTTGTGATATCAACTTGGGTACATTAGCCCCTACAGACACTATTCTCAGTCTAAAGATTGTCACCTTTCTCTGAGATATGCCGTGAATAGTTTGGCCTTAATGAAGGGAGAATATTTATTTTCATAACTTATGTTCATGCTTTAAAAGCTTAAATATTTTAAGGGGAAATTGTTTCTTAAATTATAGCTAGACATTGTTGCTATGAAACTTATTATTCTTTTAAAATATTATTGATTGCATAATTATTTTTAAAAGCTCTTGACTCATTCTTCACAAAAGCTGCATAAAATGGAACAATTAGTAAGAAATGTGCACATATGTATAATTTACAATAAGCCAGCTTACATGAACTTTATGTTTACTCCGTATCTTGAATAATTCAAGTTAAGTCTACTCATCACATATCACAAAGATTCTCCTTTAAAAAAAGTGTAATGAGATCCAAAATACTATAATTATTTTAATCCATCATTAGGACTCTATGTTCAAATTTAACAATAGTTCAGCGTAACAGATCCAGGAGAATTTCCTGGTAGTCTTGCTTAAAAACAAAGGAGTAATAAAAGTTGACTTTAAGTTTGGGCAATCTACTTCTGTAGTGATACCGCCTTGGAAACCCAAGGAGGGGTCGCTATGAATAGGATCCGACTCCATGGCGATGGTTGCCTTGCATTGTTGTGTTCTTTAAAGTCAATGTGCATTTCATATAATGAACAGAAGGTGGCAGTATTAAATCTACCATCCAAAGTGTAATATGTCTGGGTTTCCACATGTTTTTACAAGGTCCATCATGATAATATGGCAAAAGCTAAACTTTCAAAAACTAAACAGTTTTTTAATTAATAAAAATACAAGAACCTACCTTAGTCCTATTAAATACATATTAACATAGAGTATTTCTGACATAAAACACTATTAAACCAAAAAAACCAAACTCACTGCCATAGAGTCAGTTGGACTCATAGCAACCACTCCTTGGGTTTCTGAGGTGGTAGCTCTATGGAAGTAGATTACCCAATCTTCCTTCTGAGGAGTGGCTAGTGGGTTTGAACCTCCAGCCTTCTGGTTAGCAGTCAAATGCCTTAGGCACTACACCACCAGAGACTAATTTGGTGCCCTGTCCCTTTTGCTGAGAACTCCAATTCACAACTAAGAAAACAGCTATTCATTTCAGCTCCAAAAAATTCTCAAATAGATATAGCAGTAGGGGTACTGCATTCCAATTTCAGTTTAAGTCTGAGAAACACAACAGACACATAAAGGAAAAAGTGCCCACCAGCCACTCCTTGGAAGGAAGATTGGCCAATCTACTTCCGTAGAGATACCACTTCAGAAATCGAAGGAGGGGTCACTATGAGTCGAATCGACTCGACAGCAGTGAGTTTGGTTTGGTTCTAATACAAGATCTCTCTGCTATTTGATGATATTAACAACTTTAGGTTCAGAAAAGCTCACAACGAGACAAAAATAATCCAATCATTTACCAATGAATATTTGAGAAACAGCTACTATGGGCAAGACACTGAATGGAACAGAAAGATGAATATGCAGCAGATTCTGTCCTCATAAGTTTATAATTGAGCATGAGAGGGAAAGCATACGCACCAAATAATAACAGGGAATAATCATTAGGGCTGGGTAGGAGCTGAGATGAGTGGTAGACAGTGACAGTAGAGGAATTTAAACAGGAGGATCCCATCTGGCCTAGGTGATAGGGTAAGGTTTCATAAAAGAGGGAACACTTGAGCTAGATTTCAATAATCTGGGAGGACAAAGAGGAAGGGGAGGGGGCATTCTAGATGAAGTACTAAAGAGAAGAGGTGTGTGTGTGGGGGCGGTGCAAAATCACAGAAATGGGTTGGTATCAGTGATCCAACCAGTTCAAGTAGAGTAGGTTTATATATGGTGGTGGTAGTGAGAGAGGAAGGTAGAAAGCATTTAGGGTTCACCAAGGAGTTCTGGTGGCATATGGGTAAAGCATTTGGCTGGTAACTAGAAGGTTGGTGGTTCAAACCCACCAGCCACTCTGCAGGAAGAAGATCAGGCACTCTACTTCCATAAAGATTTACAGCCTTGGAAACCCAATGGGGCTCACTATGAGCTGGAATCAACTCAATGGCAGTGGGAACAAATAGGCCAGAGCCCTTGGGTGGTTCACATGGTTAACATGCTAGACTGCTAATCAAAAGCTTGGAGGTTTAAGTCTACTCCTGGGAAGAAAGGCCTAATGATCTGCTTCTAGAAAATCAGCTACTGAAAACCCTATGGAGCCCAGTTCTACTCTGACACACATAGGGCCACTATAAGTTGGAGTTGACTTGACAGTAACTGGTACTGGTACAAATAGGCTCAATTAAATAATTAGACTTTATCTGTGGCAGTGGAAAGCAATTAAAGAATTTTGAGCAAATTTAACTGAAAAAACTGAGATTGATTTAGTACCC